CACTACTGTAACTATAACCATAAATATAACCAACCATAACTGACAAAAGAGCTTCCCAGATCATACCAGTTACCGTCAGCTCATCACTTAACACTACTGTAACTATAACCATAACTATAACCAACTTTAACTCACAAATATCCTCCCGCATCATACCAGGTACCAACAGCTAATAACTTAACACTACTGTTACTATAATCATAACTATAACCAACCATAACTGACAAAGAGCTTCTCACATCATACCAGTTACTGACATCTCATCGCTTAACACTACTGTAACTATAACCATAACTATAACCAACCATAACTCACAAAGAGAGTGAGTTATAAAAGGCGATAAAACAGTATCGGTATTTATCGACGATACACCATCATCGATAACGATAGAAACATTTTCCGATATATCGCAGGATAGTTTCACGCTTTTTTTCATTTAAAGGCGCGTGTTATTGACAAGCAGTAGCCAACAGAACACACAAACACATGCTGAAATGAGTCTGTGCATGCCTGCACAGTGAATAAAAAAAAAACTGATTCACAAAAAACTGTGAATCAAAAAATGGCATAATAGTCGAATTTAAAATAAAAATTTGCATTCGAATGCAAAAACGGTGTATTTGAATTTTAGGAGTGCGTCTGGGAGCTTATCAGTGGCTTTTGGCCAGTTTTGACCACAAGGTGGCGCTGCCCCAAAACTTTTTGCGTACTGTCAGGGCATGGTGTCGAAGACACATACCGAGTTTCGTAACGATATGCCAGTGCGTTCATAAAATATAGCATTTTGTGACAAAATCCAAAATGGGAAAATTGGGTATGGTTCGACTCGGCATGCTTCACCGAACCTACAGAGACCAGTTGTTTATTTTTGGCAAACCATTCAGAAGTTATAAGCAAAAATAGCCATTTTTCATATCTCCTGACCACTAGGTGGCGCTGTGCCGAAACTGTGCAGGTAGCCTCAGGTCATGGTTGTTATAACACACACCAAGTTTGGTCTCAATATGCTAAACCGTTGCGGAGATATAGCCTCATGTTCATTTTTGCGTGCTCTTCGTCGAATTCGTTCGCACGTTATTCGAGAATCAATAAATCAATGAATTAATAAATTATGAATAATTTATTGCTATTGTGTGAATATTACGTAATCATGTAATTGATAAAAAGTAACTCTAGTCTGATTACAAGTATTTTAAAATGTAATGTAATCTAATTACAAGTTCTTAATTTTTGGAATCTGATTACGTAATCCAGACTACATAACCCAGCACTGATTATATAATATAACGATAACTATAACAATATCTAGAACTGTAACAATATCGGTTACGATAACTATAATGATAACTGCTGTATAATGATAAATACAGCAATAGCGGTATCTGGTACTGTAAGGATAACTGTAATACTGTGGCAAAGAGCACCACTGATGTAGTGAATCACCACACAAACACAGAGGTGAGATGTTAAATCAATGTCTGAAAGGAGTGTGTGTCGTCCAGGTGGAGCCCAGCACAAAACTCTTTCCTGCTGTGTTTGTGCGGCCCACAAGCTCAAGTCTCTTCCAGTTTGAACTGGCCAAAATCAAGGTGAGCACATCCTCATAGCTTCATACGGTCATATTAGTGTTCATGAGGTGCTCTGCACTGTGTGAAGCTCTCTGATCCACGTTTTTATGACTCCTCTCCTGCAGAACGCCATGCCCATCTCGTCGGCCATCTTTAAGAGCGAACACAAGAATCCCGTTCCTCAGTGTCCTCCACGACTGGACGTCCAGACCATTAACTCGGTGCTGTGGAGCCGAATGCCCAACACCTTCCTGAAGGTGGAGATGGCCCGTGTCAGCGAGAGGCACGGATGGATGGTCCAGTGTGTGGAAGCGCTGCAGATGCTGGCTGTACACATCCCCGAGGAGAACCGGTACACACCTGCACACAGACCCAGAAGTCCCAAAAAAATCAATAATCAAATAAAACTAATGTACAAATTATTTACATGTATTACATTTATAAATTATTTCTATTTATCGTATTGACTACATATTATTAATGTGTTCTTAATAAAAATTAAATACATGTGGAAATATACGTTATTTATTTGTATTATGTTTATATTTAATTTAATTTATTTAAATTAAATAAAGTAAAATATTTTTTAAAATATTTGTGAATATAATTAAAAATCTATAGATTAAAAATCTATAAATATAAATTATATTTTAAATATAATTCATTAAATGTCTTTTCAATTAAAAAATACATTTACAAGGATAACACATTTAATGTAATTTACAATTAAAATTAAATACATTTATAAATATAAATCTATAATTATTATTTTATAAATATAATTTAAATTATTTTAAAATATTTATAAAGATAACACATTTAATTTAATGTGTATTAAATACATCTAGAAATCTAAATGATTTCTATGCATTATATTTATAAATATAATTAATTTAATGTGTTTTTAATTAAAAAATAAATACATTTATAAGAGTAAGACATTTCAGTTTAATTGAAATTCTGTTTTGTAATTAAAATTAAATACATTATATGTATTTTTAGCATTAAAAACGTTTATAAATATAAATTATTTATACTTATTATATTCATGAATATAAATAATTTACATAAAATGTATTATTTTTAATATTTGTAAATGTAATACATTTGATGTATTTTAATTACTTTTTTGAATGAAAATAAAAATAAAAATATGTATTATATTTATAAATATAATTTTAATTAAAATCAAATAGATTTATAGTTAGATTCATTTTATAACTAAAATTAAAATATTTATAAATATAATACTTTCATTTATCTTTTTTTAAATACTTATAAATATATTTTTTAAATATTTTTAGTCATGCATTTTTTATAAATAGACTTTTAGATTTATTATAATATTTATTGTCATTTATTGTTTATTTTTTTATTATTTGATAATCATGCACCCAATTGAATTATTTATGCAATCAGGTGTATAATTAATGCAGCATCTGTAAGTTTTATCAGTGTGTTGAGGCAATGATTAGTGAACGCTCGTGCCACAGGTGTGTGGACATCATGGAGCTGTCGGAGCAGGAGGAGCTGCGTAAGTTCCACTATCACACGCTGAAGCTGTACTGCGCTCTGTGTGCTCACGGGAACACGCGTGTGGCTCACGCGCTCTGCAGCCACCTCGACCAATCGCAGCTGCTCTACGCCATCGACAACCAGTACCTGTCGGGGATGCTGCGCGAGGGCTTTTACGACGTCCTCATCAGCGTGCACCTGGAGACGGCCAGAGCTGCCCGCCGCATGATGAACAACGAGTTCATCATCCCCGTCACGGCCGAGACGCGCAGCATCCGCCTCTTCCCCGACGCCTCCAAACAGCACCGGCCTCCAGGCGTCGGGCTCAGCACGTGCCTCAAACCCAGACTCAGCTTCGGCCCGCCGTGCTTCATCAGCAGCAAGCGCGAGCAACACCTGTACAGCCCAGAGATCCCGCTGGAGGTGCTGAAGGAGAGGGCCATCCGCATGCTGACGGAGGCTGTGCAGGGCGGAGGAGACCACATCCGCGACCCCGTGGGCGGAAGCGTGGAGTTCCAGTTCGTGCCGATTCTGCGGCTCATCGGCGCACTGCTCACGATGGGAGTCCTGACCAGCCGCGACGTGCACAAGATCCTGCTGCTCATCGAGCCCGGAGTGTTCGGCGAGCACAGGGACGACGGCGCCAAAGAGGGGCTGACGGGAGCCGAGGAGAAGGCGGTGGAGGCCGGAGAGGAGGAGGAGGCCAGAGATGGGAAAGAGCTGGTGAAGAGTCTGCTGGAGAAGAAACTCCCCGAGTCTGTCAAACGACAGGTGAGACAATTGACGGACAAAAATCGGTAAGCCCCGCCCCTCGAACGCAGATGAGCCAATGGCAGTCGAGTATCAGTTGTACAGGGAGCGAAACTCGGACATCTGTTGGTTTCAGCGCCATAGAGAAACACTGGGAGATCCGAAGCTCGCATCGGTTTAATGGTGTTTATGCTACAAAAATGGAAAAACGATGTGCCTGGGGTACTCGTAACACTAATTCCAGTTATCCTGAGAGGATAGGCAATGTAATTTATTTTATTCCATTTTCTAAATCCAACCCAAACAGAGCAAAATGTCCCTAAGCATTCAACCCCAATCACAATGAAGACGAAAACGTTTATTTTCCGGTTGTCATACTCTCATTAAGTTACACTTTTCATCTGCTCAAGCAGAACGTTAATGTCATCTTGTGCTTCAGCAAGGTATCTCTGGCTAAAACTAGCTAACGTTAGCGTTAAAGTTAGTGAGTCCATGCTAACGTACAAGCCTAAATAGCGAACTGTTCTCACGTCATGTAC